CTGGTTTAGGGGGGAGGGGGACAAAATATGAAGGGAAAGAGGGATATGATCATCACCCGTTCAAATTTATTATATTTATTAGCAATGAAATATAAAATCATGGAACAAAATGCAAATGTCTGACCTTTTTTAATCCAACCGCCGCACTGCCAATTTAATATATGCAATTTTCATGGATTGATAGATAATTACGACAAAGAATATTCTTTCAGATAGCAACAGCTAAAAACAAAATTTTATCTGCAGAAGTCAACATAAGATTTTATACGCACTTAATTAGTTGAACGGACTAAATACAAAAGTTTCAAAGTTAAAACTTTAAATAAAATTTTTCGTTTTACAAATAAACCCTTTTACTTGAAAAATATTTGACATTTTTTATTTATGCTTCAGAAGGTGTAAATAATAATAATAAATCATGATCTGTCTCTTCGCAATGTAGAAAACTTTTTATGGGCATTCCTATAGATGAGAAGGAAAATGAGGGAGGAGAAAATGATGGAAGATAAGGCCGGGGATGGAGGAGAAAATGATGGAGGATAAGGCCGGGGAAGGGGGGGGAGGGGGGATTTTGGTAGAGAGAACACGCAGAGAAGTGAGTGTGCTTGTGGAAGGAGTTGAAGGATTAGGCCGGGGGGGGGGGGTAGGAAGGAAGAGGGATAGTTGGGTTAAAAATGGTAAAGCTTGTAGAACCAGAGGGCGAGGTGGGTGAAGATGTAGAGTGGGGGGAAGGAAAATGATGATATGTTTTTCTGATTTATTACACCAAAAAGAATACGGACAGAGGGCAGAGAATGTATTAAATCTAAAATTACAAAGAAGTAAACATTTTTTTTCACAACCACTTTTTTCCCAATGTCAAACGATAGAATTAAAATAAATAACAGCTTCAACAAATGGTCATGTTAATCCACGATTTATAATTAATGTGTTGCCTCCAATTTAAGTTTTTTTTATGTTTTGATTAAATTCACCACACTTTCCAGGGACAACTTGCATCAAATAATAGACTCCATATTTACTTTATATAGACATTAAACTATATATTTTGATATTTTAGAAGATTTAGCGTCTATCCAAAACTGTCTTGCCTTAATATATTTATATCTTTATGCAGTCTTGGAAAGATGGATGTAATTACATGAGTGCAGTTATCTATTTCTAACATCTGGTCCCCTAATAACAGTGAGATCCAATAGGCTATAGTCTAAGAAAAAAAATTCTTTTGTGGATTACAATTCTTGCATTTGCTCCAAAACATATTTCAAGCTATTTCTTTATATTCTAAGAAATATGCTTTTTATTAAGAACTATAATTAAGATTCCATATAGACAACCACACAAATCTATGATTCCCCTTTTAAAATTTTTATCTTTTATCGTTCAATAATTTTATGTTATCTGACCTTTTAAATGTTCATACAGATTCTTACATACTACATAGACAAACATATATGCCAGTTCCTAAAAACATTCCGACGCATAAAGAAAATTATCAAACATATACGTTAAGAATATTTAATATTTATATTTCTTAAAGGAAATGAAAACATAATTTCAAGTAATCCTCCAATTCCATGCAAAGATGACAATGCCCGATTAACCACAGTACATTTAAAAGCTTTGTCTAAATTAGTTGTCAATATGTTTATAATTCAAAAAACTGATTATTTTTAATTGGGGTTTCTCTACTAAAGCGACTTGCGCATTTGTACTGTAGGAAGACTGATCGGAATTATCTGAATTAAATACTTTTAATCCTAGAAAAACACATTGGGCATTGCCATCTTTCCATGGAGGGTCACTTGAAATTATGTTTACAGTCTCTTTAAGCTAAATATTTATTAAAACATATTTTTTAACAATAAGGGGTTTCAGAGGTAAATTAAAATGTTATTATACCTCTTGGCACTATTCGCTGATACACCATGTTTTCTGCGGCTGCAGGTAGTTAGTTTTTAGAAAAGAAAAAAAAAGTTCAAATGCATAAACTTTACTAATTAGGACCAACTCAGAATATAGTTCTGAGATCGCAACTTTTGTGTGAAATATTGTTAATCTTCAACGCTTGATCTCAGTATCCAATGTGAGAATCAATGCTTGATTCCTAAACTTAAATTATCCCTTCAGCGTATGACCAGTGACCACCACGGGATTTTGGAGAGTAGTAGGTCTGCATAGGACGGAGATGCTTGATCTTGAGATTCACAACAAAAAAGTTATGACTTCTGGACATTTTAAAGCAAATCACAAAAAGGGAGGATATAAAATTGTTTTTGGAATTTATTTTTAGCAAAATTATGATTGCAATTGTTAGCAAACAATATACTTTAGAGTAACAACATTTTTAACAGTTGTCCTGTTTAATAATGATAAGATTTCAAAATTAAATATTAAATGGAGTTAAAATACTATCGCTGTGCGATTAAAGAAAATAAACTTATGTAATTTTAATGATTTTCTAATTATTGTTTTCAGATGATTGCTTGCCAATGGATATAACACCCCCTGCCTGCCAAAACTATGTAGATTCAGTCATAAAGAAACCCGTTTTTATTGAACATGCATTCAGTAAGTTTTTTTTTGGTTAACTTGTACGCAAACTGATAAAACAGATGATAATGATAATAATTGCAATTTTTAAGATTGCAGCCGGTTCTGGATTTGTACCGTAGACCTTTCCCCATGTCTTAGGGAATGTCCAAGAGGCTGTGGAAGGGATGGATCAATACAGGCCTTCTACTTTGATGTTAGAATCCAGTATCCATATGGACCTGTATGTGACTGGCCTGCTGTTACTGACTGTGAGATGGGCGATGAACCTGAATGTGTTAAAAATGATGATTGTCTGAACAATGAGTACTGTTCTGATGATTCTAAATGTCAGGTTGGATGTCGAGATAATTCTAACTGTGGTACATGTGGTAAGTGTATAAACCATGTATGTACACAACCTGACTGTTGTACAGATACAGACTGCGAGAATTTGGAGTATTGTGCTGATACAGGAACCTGTGAACTAGGATGTAATGAAAATTCTGATTGCATATATTTGTATGGTTGTTCAACTTGCAACATGGAATCTAAAATGTGTGAATGCTGCGAAGGAGTTGAATGCTGCGAAGATGATGATTGTGGAAGTGGTTTTTTCTGCGCTGGAAATATGTGTACACATTACACAAGCATATTTTAAATGATTCTAAATTCTAAAGTAAGAGTCAATGTCATTACAATTAAATGTTTTTTTTTTAATAGAAAAAGGTGTGGGCAATGAAAAATTAATTTTTACTTCTAAATAATGTCATTTCCATATTAGATTTATTTAAGATCTTAACATACTACATTGACGACAAGAAAATTTTAGAAATTAGAAATTACAATATAAACAGAAAACAATGTTTTTTTTAAAAAGTTTTGCAGGGTAGCTTTTCTAAAGATTTAAAAAAGTAACATCTTTTTCCTCTTAGAGTATAACTAGTTTTTATGTTACTTAAAAAAAATTCAGTTTTTTTACATATCTTCGTAGTTAATGTAAAATGAATGACTATAATGAAGCTGAAAGATAAGAAATGAAGCATTTATTTGATGGAGTTTGTGAATGCCAGAAATAAGTGGAAAATGCAAATCAAACCCAATTAAAACCAATAATTTGATATACATAATGATATTTTTTTACCCCACCCTACAGAATCCTTATTTACGCCCCTGGAGGGTAGTAAGAGTTAAATATATCAACACTGAGAAGAAAATGAATTTGCTACGGCTAGTTTAACTACTTCTCAGTAGCAGTATAAAAAGTTAAAAATATATGTAGACAAACTTGGTTAATAGTTAAAGTATTTACTTTTGATACAAGAATTACAACGAAGCATATATTACCAGAAATATAGATTCCTTCTGTAGAAAATTACTTAATTTATAAAAGACCTGATCATAGTTTTTGTTTGATGAATATGATATTACGATATAAATGTGCACATACAACAATAAATGAATCAAAATCACCCATGATTGTGAATATTGTAGTTTTTTTTGTTTTTCTGTTCTACTAAAGGGAGCATTTGCAAATTAAAGAGGGTGTACCTAAAACCCTGTCTTTTTAGTTTTGTGTCCGCTTGCAAAAACAATCAAACTTAATAAGTAACACACATTTTCAAAATACTTTGAAAAATGAACAAAAATGAACATGGAAAGGGAATAAAACGAAATATTCCTTGATGAATTCTGATTTGTAATCACCAGACAGTTATTTTTTTAAAGGGCTTTGGAATTAAGTAAAAGGAATTGAGTCTTTGTAACAAACTCTGGTTTTCTAATCCCTATATCTTTTCAACCCAGTGGAGTAGGCCTTTGATATTTCAAACTATGAAATATGTTAGATTAAATAATCTAAGTTTGAAATATCAAAGGTTAACACCAACCGGTTCCAGAGATATAGGGATTAGAACATTTGAGTTTGTGGCAAAAACTCAGATCCTTTAGATCTGTTATAGCTCAAATAAAAAAAAAGTTTTTGACTAATTTTGATTGTTGGCCGGCCTTTTGACCGTCATGTAGGCTATCATTTTTACCCTATTCAATAAAACAAAAATGTTAAGTTAAGAAGTTTGAGCTTTCTACTGTAAGCTGTAATTTAAAGTTATGGAGAAAAAATGGGATAAGGTTAAGCTCGTCGGAAAATTTGGCTAGATTTTTCATATATTCAAATAAGATACTTCATAGATTCCTTAGAATTGTCAATTTTGTGATCAAGTATTGTTTTTAGGATTATTTAATTACTCTCTGATATCCCGTGATGGTCATACCCTGCAGATATAACAATGATCCTCAAAAATAAAAGTAAAATTTATAAACCAGTGTCCAGATTTAATGAATTTAAGGCGCGTCTCAAATCCCCCAAAATCCAGTTTCAATTGAATGCCGTTTTAAATCTTGAAATATTAAATACAAATCTAAGTGGAACCAACAAAATTTGAGTCGCGGCTTAAATTTAAACTTCGCTCAAATTCTTTAAATTCTGCCTCAGGACCAGATACAAATAGATTCCATTTTAGAAACCTGGTTTAGGGATTGGTACTGGTTAAGGGAGATGAAACCTGGTTTAGGGATTGGTACTGCTTAAGGGAGATGAAACCTGGTTTAGGGATTGGTACTGGTTAAGGGATGACACCTGGTTTAGGGATTGGTACTGGTTAAGGGATGAAACCTGGTTTAGGGATTGGTACTGGTTAAGGGATGAATCCTGGTTTAGGGATTGCGACTGGTTAAGGTATGAAACCTGGTTTAAGGATTGAGACTGGTTAAGGGATTAGAAATCGAACATTTAAAGGGAGTGTTTACGAAGTTGGGGTAAAGGATAACTTGAATTATAAAATTAGTGATACCGAATGTATATTTAATTACTTTACCAGAAAGTGGCACTATATGTTGGTAAATCCATGCTTAAAAGATGTTTGGGTTTTTACTTTCTTGAGGTCAGCGAGGGTTAATTTTTTTAGTTTTCTTCTAAGAAAAATTAGATCGAATTTAGGAAAAGAGTAGTTTTTCCATTACCATACTTTCGTAGATTAATGATTGAGTTGAGTCGAATTGCAATTATGACAGGAAGGATAATATGGGATGATTAAGGTGGAATGAGGAAGAAGAAGAGGGATGGAGCAGATACTTTTTTCAGAAAGAGAACAAAAGAAGTATAAGGATGAGGAGACAAATTAGTAGGAAAATGACAAGAAATATGTGATGGAGGGNTTAAAAGGACCAGGACAACCAAGAGCAGGAACAGGACGATTGGAAGTTGAATCTTGTTCCTAGGGATGAGCGGAACAATGAAACCGGAGGATGAGAAGAGGATGATCCGGAGAGGAATAACTCAGCCTCACGATAAACTGATTTCTATCCACGGACCAGTGTCCACCAAACCTCCGAGGAAAGGGGGTACACAATTTCTTAGCCTCAGAGGTTATAGTTATCACTATTTATAGAATATGTCTACAAAATCGGAGAAAATATGACAGTTACAAAAACATAAGTGCATAACATATTGTTATTTTATGAATAATTTAGATCTTTTAAAATCTTTCAAACTTTTCCGTATCGACAGATTTTAAGCAATTTTCTCCAATAAACTCATCAGTGAAGTTTTTAATCATGTATTCAGAAAGATAAAGTTTTACAAAGTGCCGAGTGTCGAGGGGAAAATGGATCTATTAAATAGAATCTGGATCAGTGAATTTACAAGGCGCAAGAATGATTAAGAAAATGCCGCGCACTTTTTTTAACCCAGTTAGAATTCTAGTCGTCTTCATCTTTCTCCACTTTTACGGAATCTCTGTTAAAACAGCAATTAAAGGTATGTGAACAATATTATAGAACTTTCATTTAATCCGCTCGCCGATAAGCAGAAATTATTTGAAAGGTTTACAAGAAAGATGTATATTTTTGTTCAAAATCATTTTTAAATTCAGGTTTAAATAGACAAATATTTTACCCATAATCCATGTTGACATGTTTTGACAACAAAAATGTATTGCTTTTTTAAGAAAACAATTTTCACAAAAATGCATATGTTTGAAATTTAGAAAAAATAATTTCAATATTTTTCAATTTTATTAAAGAAAACTTTAGGACTGCAGTCTGCAGTGAAAGGCGGATCTGCAATCATTTTCATGATAGTTTTACTCTTGTTTATACCAACACTTTCTTTTGCTCTGTATTTCAGTTATTAGTTCATGTAGTTTACTCACATTTAGAATTGTTTTCAAATCATTATTTTTTACAACTGACTCTTTACAAAGATAAAAGAATGTAGAGAATTTTAGAAAAAAAAACATGGTTGATTGCAGATTGGTAAATGCCAAATATCGATTTACGATTTTAAATGGTTTCCCAGCTCTTCAGTTGTACAATTGTATTTACCATTAAACGCAGAAAAGTTAATGTACATTTATTATGAGTTCTGTTTAGCATTTGCATAATTGAGTATTTTTTGGTTTCAATTTATTTTTGGAAGGACTGTTTAAAAACTCTGACTAACAATGTTTTTAATAAATTTAATCAAACATTTTTTGGACTAATTTTTCTCTCTCATTTTTCTGTCTCAATTCTGAATTCCCGTTTCGTCTGTTTCCTTGCACTTTTTTTGCAATTCTCATGCTGGAATTCATTTATGTAATTTAATTAAAATTTCAATTTAATCTTTTCATTGTTCTCTTCCCTGCAGATGTTTCTTTTTCTTATCTCTCAACTTCTCTGTGATTGTATAATTCTTATTTCTTGCGCTTGTTTCTGCTCACGCATTCTTTAGAATATCTTGAATATGAAATAAAAGGAGTGAATTTATGAATAATAACAAATTTAAATTGGTACATGAAAATTAATATATTATATACAAAGATCCATTGGGGATGTTTTTTCTTCAGTAAAGTTTTTAAAACCATGAAGCAAAGTGAATTCTATTCTAACAAAATATTAAAATGCTATTTTTTAAGCTTTTTCTAGGATTGAATTGAACATTTACCGATGAGAAATGTTTTCAAATGGACACAAAGGCAAAACATCCTATAAACCATTTTCTGTACTGTTGCTTTGTTGTCAATGTTAAATAATATAATATATATATATATGTGGCAAATTTTTGCTAAGTATTAAAATGTTTGTTGTTTAAATGGATTACATTAGGTTTGTAACCAAGGATGTGTTAGTATCTCCTCAGAGTGAATATACTTAGCATATTTAGTATGCAGATATTAAGAGGAAGGTGGGATAGGGGGCAGGGGGGGTTTTAATATGTTTGTTGTTTAAATGGATTACATTAGGTTTGTAACCAAGGATGTGTTAGTATCTCCTCAGAGTGAATATACTTAGCATATTTAGTTTGCAGATATTAAGAGGAAGGTGGGATAGGGGGCAGGGGGGGTTTTAATATGTTAAAAACAAATGGAGTTTCTTAAAGAAAAAGTTGGCAGTAAGAGATTTTATTTAGTANACCTGCAAAATGTACATTTATAAATGAGAAGCTTGAAAAACCATTCAAGCCAATTTCTTTTATGCCAGATTCAACATTTGAATACTGTAATAAAAGACAGCTACCTTTTTTGACATTCAATTTTTAAATAGGATAAAAAAGGCTGTAGTTGAAACTTTAGCGCTGTAACATTAAACATATAAAAGAAATGAAAAAAAAACGACAGGTATGCATGATATTAGAGACATAAAAATATTAACCCAATACCGCCAAATATAAATATATATATAAATAATTCTTCTCAACATTAATTGAAAAGTTTGAAAAGTTAAGAAATGTTCTACTCCACACAATTTTTAAGTTCTTAACAAAAAAACTTTAAGGGGTGGTGTAGTTCATCCCCCCCCACTCCCTCCCAACTGGGATAAGGTTTACAAGAGTGCAGATGAGGTCAAACTGAAAGAGGATTAGATGGCAGATTAATATGAAAAAGCTGAGGTAGAAGAGAAAGGGGAACTTTTCAGGGTAGGGTGGGGGTGGGAGGGGGAATAGCTCTTGGCTGTTTTGATTATTTTTTCCACCTAATTTCAATAATGATAACAATACATTTCAATTAAATAGATTTAAGGAGAACGATTAGAGATCAGGGTGCGATTTTATCATATACAAAATTATATATGTCATACATTTCTTAGAATAACTAGAGTTTAAAGTAATTTTCATCATCATTGGAGTACTGTTGGAGCACACAGCTATCTAAAGCTGACAATAATAGCAATATTATTTTGAAAGCTGTCAATAATAGCTAAAACTAGCTGAAAACCGTCAAAGATAGCGCAATTCTTTTTGAAAGCTGGATATAATAGTTGACTTCTAGCTTAAAACGCGATTTTATCCGAAAGCTGCCTATAATAAAAATAAATAAGATTTAAATTATAGATGATGGCATGAGAGGTTTTCATCCCAACGATATCCTCGGGTTGCCGCCTAAACCTACGAAACCTGTTTTCCTGGCGGAGCCCCAGGTAAGAAATAGTAGTACATAATTATTAGAAAATTTCGAAATCTCTAAAGAAGTTTGACCAATTGAACACGGATAAAATTTGTCTTGACATGTTCATACCAATTTGATAGAATCTTATATTTCAAAACAAAATTTACAGTAAAAAATAACCTAAATGAAAACTGAAATAATAGAGTAGAAATGGCTTAAAAGATTATTTACACAAGAAACTTACCTAATTCATTTTTGGACGAATTTTTCATCATTTTGATTCGAAAAGAGAAAAACTGTGACAAATCAAATTCACCTTATTGAAGTTATAAAAAATTCCTATAACAAAAGTCTCCCAAAGGCCTAACTCCCCTTGGGGATTAACTTGTCAGAGATCTAAAAAATTTGGGATTTCCATAAGAACCACAAAGTGTGTACTTAAGATCCAAACCCTGATACTTCACCGTCGGAATGGAATACTTTAAAGGTTGGTTTGAGAGAATGGGAATTGAGAAGGTGGAAAGGATTTATTCTGAGGATATTGTATACATTTGAATATTGATGCGAAACTACATATATAGTTTTTCTGGTTCCTTGGTTAATCTGGTTACCCGGGTTTCCTTCACTGNTATATTTCTATATTTCTATATTTCTATATTTCTATATTTCTATATTTCTATATTTCTATATTTCTATATTTCTATATTTCTATATTTCTATATTTCTATATTTCTATATTTCTATATTTCTATATTTCTATATTTCTATATTTCTATATTTCTATATTTCTATATTTCTATATTTCTATATTTCTATATTTCTATATTTCTATATTTCTATATTTCTATATTTCTATATTTCTATATTTCTATATTTCTATATTTCTATATTTCTATATTTCTATATTTCTATATTTCTATATTTCTATATTTCTATATTTCTATATTTCTATATTTCTATATTTCTATATTTCTATATTTCTATATTTCTATATTTCTATATTTCTATATTTCTATATTTCTATATTTCTATATTTCTATATTTCTATATTTCTATATTTCTATATTTCTATATTTCTATATTTCTATATTTCTATATTTCTATATTTCTATATTTCTATATTTCTATATTTCTATATTTCTATATTTCTATATTTCTATATTTCTATATTTCTATATTTCTATATTTCTATATTTCTATATTTCTATATTTCTATATTTCTATATTTCTATATTTCTATATTTCTATATTTCTATATTTCTATATTTCTATATTTCTATATTTCTATATTTCTATATTTCTATATTTCTATATTTCTATATTTCTATATTTCTATATTTCTATATTTCTATATTTCTATATTTCTATATTTCTATATTTCTATATTTCTATATTTCTATATTTCTATATTTCTATATTTCTATATTTCTATATTTCTATATTTCTATATTTCTATATTTCTATATTTCTATATTTTATATTTCTATATTTCTAGGATGGGTATATTGTAAAATCCAGATCAGCTGTTCTCAATTGTACTGTTATACACGGCAACAAGGAAACCATGAAGAATATATTAATATTTACAAAATCTTTTATCCTTTATATTAACCTAGGTATATCAAACCATACGTCCAATATCCAGTATAACCTTTAAATCTAAAATAATCCAAATTAAAATATCTCTGTTTGTTTTTGTATGTCATTGTCTATTTATAGCTATATCGTCTCACTATTAATTTCTTTCAATATTTGTTTGATTTGTTTTAAGACTTGATTCTTCTAATATTGGTTGATTTATAATTGATCCATTATCTTTTTTCAATCTAGATGCATTTATATTAACAAATACATGTCTTTTTATCTTTAAACTACAAAACTTTTACTTATTTAATGTATTTATATATAATGTGTCTATTAATCTTTAAACCTATTTATTTATCTACATGCAATTTATTTATATTTATTCTGAATTGTTATTTTACTTTTAACCCATTTTTTGCTCTTTTATAGGTTTAAATCTATCTAATTCTATAATCATTATCAACTAGCTGAAGTTCCCGGCGTTGGCCGTGGAATTTTAAGAACATCGGAAAATAATTTCGAATATTGAAGAAAAAATTGAATTTTAAAGGAACTAAAATTTCAATTTTTTTTAGCTATATGTTACCCATGGGTTCCCTTAAAAAAATTCAGCCAACTTGGTCCAGCCGTTTGGTAAGCTTTAGCTACATATAAATATACAAATATATATTTATAAGAGCGAAGAGCTTTTATTATATAGAGAATGATAAAAGGCCAGCGTGTTCACGTATTTAAAAAATACTCGAACAAGGAACATAATTAAGTTCATCATACCGTTAAAAACTAATTCGGAATAATAGAAACTTAATGTCAAAATGTCAATTACGTTTTGCAGAATGAATCCGACTAAATAAAAGATTGAACCGCTGCAAGTGAGATATGACCACTATATACTTCTTTTCTTTTATAATATTAATTATAATAATAAAAAAACCCGGCGGTGCGGGTGTCTTTATAATGGTATTAAGAGAACGATTAAACATTAATGAATACTTAATGATTCAATCCTTCTCTTATATATGTTTATTTGCAGTATCTGTTCTACTTATCAATTTATGTAGCCATATTTTTCTGTTTTATTTATGCATTAAAACATTGTCACTGACTTGTCAAAAAAATTTCCTTTCCAAAAAAGTGTTCTCTAAAGGGCGAAGACTACAGATTTGAGTTGCACAACAAGGGGTATATGTTGGTTTGCCTTTTAGTTTTTCTTATTTCATGTTATAGCACAAAAGCACCGGGATTGTGCCAGTGCCAGTCAAAACCGCGTGCCGCTTATTGTAGCTAGGAATGGGCACTTTTCACTTTTTTTTCAAACGATGAAAAATAGTTAAAAACTAATCGATCATAACTAATTGATAGTTTTTGTTATGCAAAAAACGACTTAGAGTTAACTGTTTTAAAATTAAAAACTAAACGTTAGTTTTCAAAAGTAAAAAACGATAGATTTTTTTATTAGAAAAAACGATCGTTTTCGATAAAAAATGACTTCTTTAAAATGTATATGATTAAAAGTATGAAACCTTGTTATGATGGTGTTATTAGAATATTTTATGGCAAAACAGGATAGTTTTTGCTTGAAAACTATGGTTTTGAGTCTTTATCTTCAATCGTTTTAAAAAAAACAACTTAAAGCCCAATTCCGTATTTAGCAGTAGCAGTTTTTTCCATGAATTCTCCTTTACTAGTGTTTTAGATACGCTCAGTTTAAACAACGACGGGTTTAAATAAATACTTTATTGACTAACTTATTTTACTTTATCAATTTAAGAAATCAAAAATATGTCTATTCATGGTGACGTGGCAGATCTGAGTTCTTCTTGCCGCGTCTCTCTATCCGGTTTAAACTTGGATCGTCTTCCGCCACAGTGTAATAATTAAGTAAAAGTACTTTCATCTATTTTTAGTTGATTCTCAAAGTTATAGTGTAAATAAAGTAAAAATAATTAATCTAAACAAAAAGCATTGCTGATTAAAATATTTATTTTTCTCAATCAAATATCTTTTTGGTGAAACTAGGCGTACTTCAGCTGTAACGGAGAGGCCTTAGCAAAATCTGTTAAACATTCAGAACAGGTATTGTAATTGGTACTGGAGATTATTAATTTATTTTATGTGATCCTACATTTATATAGTGCAATCCTATACCAGATGTCACTTTATCACTGGTTGAATCGCACTTTATCGATAATTGAATATATTGACTTCCTATCTAAAAATTAACGAATATTTTACCAGACTCAAATTTCCCCAATATTCTAGGATTGGCGTCTTCTGCCATCTTTCCTTTCTTTTACTATGAATTTTTAAATCAAAGCCAAGCAAAAAAGTCTGTAATATTACAATGCACAAAGCGTGAGACTTCAGAGACGACTGTTCGGAAACCATTTTATATTTTTTATGAAACTATAGTGTACTTTATCATTCTTACTTACTTCATCGTGAATTTCATAATAAACGTGCTATAAAGTAATCCTCGTGCTATATAAAGTTAAATAAGTTTCCAAAATAATTTTTTTCAATTGAAATAAAATTAAAATTGAAATCATCTTTATTTTTTTACTTCTGCTTTGTTTCAAAGCTTTTTTGATATGTAGAAATAGTCGTTGAAATAAGAATAGTACAGAAAAGTTTCATGAAATTTACTTAATGAAATTACTACTATTTTGGCATGACGTGCTATAAAGTTTTGGACTTAAATTTTCTATATCTCGAAGGTTCTTGCTTTTTAGATTATATCGCTAAAGCTCGGGACAAAATTTTATCTAAAAAGGCTTGAACCTTCTCGATAAAGAGCAAATTTTTGTCCAAAAACTTTATAACACTGCAAACCAAAATAACAGTGTTATAAAATAGTTAATTTACATTTACGGTTCCTTCTAGTTAAATTTATTGCCAAAAAGTTTATATGCAAAGTCTATTTTGAAGGTAAGATACCAAATTCAAACTTATGATCCTCATGTTTAAAGAGGTTTAGGTTGTTATTACAGTCTTATTCTTTATGGGTAACCCTACAATAGCCAGGAAAGGGTCAGGGCACATTTTTACGAGCGAAGTCGACAATTCACCCTTATTTGACTGCCCTGTATAGGATCTTGTGGATCTTGGGAACTTAGCGTTGCCCAGGTTGCACTTGGTCGTAGATTACGATTGTAGCTATTTTTACACTCAACTTAGAATCTTAAAACCAAGCTAGGAACAAACAGACAGACAAACAAACAGAGATTACAACTTTATATTCATATAAATCATTTTTTGTAGGTATTCATAGCTATTTTGTTTTAGAGATAGAGATAAAGAGCAAATTTTTGTCCAAAACTTTATAACACTGCAAACCAAAATAACAGTGTTATAAAATAGTTATTTTATATTTACGGTTCCTTCTAGTTAAATTTATTGCCAAAAAGTTTATATGCAAAGTCTATTTTGAAGGTAAGATACCAAATTCAAACTTATGATCCTCATGTTTAAAGAGGTTTAGGTTGTTATTACAGTCTTATTCTTTATGGGTAACCCTACAATAGCCAGGAAAGGGTCAGGGCACATTTTTACGAGCGAAGTCGACAATTCCCCCTTATTTGACTGCCCTGTATAGGATCTTGTGGATGCAGATACAGGAGAAATCATCAGAATTCTCACCATAGAGATAACAAGAGAACAGGTCAGTTAACAAACTTTAATTTTGATCTTGGCTTTAACTTTAACCTTGACCTTTAACTTTGACCTTGACTTTAACTTTGACCTTGACTTTAACTTTGACCTTGACCTTTAATTTTCAACTCGACCTTGACCTTTAACTTTGACCTTGATTTTAACTTTCAACTCGACCTTTACCTTTGAATTTAACCTTTAACTTTGAACTTAAACTTAACGTTGAATTACATCTTGACTTCAAAATCGATGATAACTAATAATTTTTGGAATTTTATATTCGGTACCCATCCTGAAGTTAAAATTGTCCTTTAACTCAGACTACACATACACCGTGAGTTCGACCTGTACATAAACTTTTTTTCAGTCTTTTTTATTCGATGTTAATCTTGAGAGCGAACAAGTTAATGTAAGTTTTTTTTCCATGCAACAAATCAATTTGGATTTAATGGAGTGTTAATGAATTAACTAACTCTGATTGTCTTATGCTTATTGTTGTACCACTAAGCTGATTCGAAAACGCCAAACCCTATCTATCTATCTATCCAAATACCTCTTTGGAAATATTGAAACAGAAAAGAACTTTCAAATCAATAGAATAGATATATTGAACGATATGGATGCTAAAAAAGGGATCTGCGGATGATAGAATGAATTGATAGATGAGGATTAGTAGCAAATATTGAAGACCTCTTATAAGAAAATGTTGAGTTTGAGGTTCCTTTAAATCCTCTTTTAGATCCTATAAACCCGACCCCAGATCTTTTTAACCTCGAATAAACAAAAAGGCGGCAAAGATAAATGAAAAATGTTCCTAGCTTACTCAATTACAGATAGAAGACTAAAATTGAAAAAAAATTGAATATAATTTTCAAAAATAATTCAGTGTAGTGTATTTATGGAGGTAAAATTTCTTTATTGTATATAATCTTCAATATTTATCTATATAATATCTTTAAGATGAATTCCGTCAAAAAGATTAGAAAAGCTTTAATCTTTTCAATGTAAAAACCAATATTACTTAGACTAGATTATACCCTTTATGTNTTTATGATTCTTAGAAACTTTTTTAACTTTGTAAATTTAATAAAATCTTTTTCAAACATAAAATTTTCATAAGTTTTATACTTCTTTTAGATGCTGTAAATAAAACAAAAAATATTTTACTACTTCTGAAACCCCTTACTCTCCTTTCCTCAATAAGAACTTCCCCTTTCAACCTCCTTTTCTCTTCCTTTTCCACTCTTTTTCTTCTATTTTCCCCCTCCTTTTCCCCTCTTTTTCTCCTATTTTACCCCTCCTTGTCCCCTCCTTTTCCTCTCTTTTTCCACTCCTTTTCCCCTCCTTTTCCACTCTTTTTCTCCTATTTTCCCCCTCATTTCCCCCTCCTTTTCCCCTCCTTTTCCTCTCTTTCTCCACTCCTTTTCCCCTCATTTTCCCCTCCTTTCCCCTCCTCCTCCTCCATTTTCCATTTCCAACCCTTCCCCCACCCCTAACCTACCTCGACACTATTAATTTAGATCAAGCAAACACATTAAACAAATTTCCGGAAAACCTATGCAGCCAACTCCAACCCTTAAATTAGAATTAATGTTTGTTTGTAATAACAGTGGGTAATTCTTAAAACATGAAATTTTAATTTAATCATAAAATATAGTAAAATAGCTTGGGAACCCAGCGTTGCCCAGGTTATTCTTGGTTACTCCCGCCGTTTACCCGCACTTGGTCGTACATTATGATTGTAGCTATTTTTACAATCAACTTAGAATCTTAAAACCTAGTTAGGAACAAACAAACAGACAAACAAACAGAGATTACAACTTTATATTTATATAAATCATTTTTTGAAGGTATTCATAGTTATTTTGTTCTAGAGAGGAATCTTTTTTCATTCTGAAGATGGTTAAATACTTGTTTTTACTTTTGTTTCTTTGTGTTAAGGACATTATGGAACTTTTTTTTAGACTAAATGATAACGTCCCGCTAGTAATTTAAAAAAAATTAATAATACACAATACACATATCAAGCAACGGCAGTATACAATTTTGCAAGTAAAACCATAAAAAAAACTATTTTTATCCAGTAGTTGTAATTACATCTGTAACATTTCTATCCAGGTTTTAAAAATTTCCGCACTGAATTAAAAAAAAATAATGTGAAAAAGGTGATGTGTTATTTCAACTTTTTCCAAATCATCTTTTATGTTTGTCGTATACACTTAAAGCTTTTATTTTACTTGAACAACTTATTAAAAACTCAATCATGTAGATACACTTTTTAATCATCAATAAAAATAACTAATTTATCTTATCCTTTATAAGTTGCAGAACCTTAATTTTTCTAAAACCTATATTAGATTTCTTAGTTCAATCAAAATATGAATCTCAAAAATGAATCTTTCATTTTGTTTATTAAGAATAAAATAAGTTTATTTTAGTTTATTAGCTTGGGACATTATCAAAGAATGTTTTGAACCCCCTTATGGATTTAAACTCAAGCTCAAAGTGAATATTTCATCCAATCTACCCTCGGAGCAGGGAACTTATGAACGTAAAAAATAACAAAACCAAATTTACTAACTATTTTACCTTTTGATTTTTTTAACACAAAAAATGAAACTGATTTGTGAATACTCATGATTATTTTTACCCCCCATTTAACTTTGACCTTGACTTTAACTTTGACCTTGACCTTTAATTTTCAACTCGACCTTGACCTTTAACTTTGACCTTGATTTTAACTTTC